AATCAATGAAGAATACAAAATGCGTAGTGCTTTCCCGTCCAAAATATATCTAACCCTTGCCAATATCGATATATTTTTTGCTATTTTGTTCTGAACATATCTGATATGAGATTTCCAGGAGAATTTGTCATCAACTATGACACCAAGAAATTTAATTTCATGTACTCGTTCTATATTAGCTCCCCCAATTTTCAATTGAATTTCATTGTCTAGTCTGCGATTCCCAAATTGACTCGGTCTCGGACATACTTAAAAATCCATTTTCAAGTCGGACTTTTCCAGAAGAGCTAGACATTGTGAGGAGAGGTCGGTCAACCCTGAAGCTAGCTAGCTTGTCTCAGCCTGGGAAAGGGTTTGTTCGCCACTTCATGGCTATAGAAAATGACTTACTGATGAAACTGAAACGCAGAGATCATGTCTGTGACAGTCATTGAAGTCTTCCTGCGCAAAGAAAGGAGGATGGATTTTGTCTATAAATAAATAGCATCTCTGGTGAGTATGATGTAAGTCAGAGATATTTTAGACCAAGTTCTGCATGTGATTCAATGAATGGGCAGCTGCTCTTGAGAGGCTCAGGTGAACACCTGAGAACTCCCTTTCTCCTTAGTTAGCTTACCTTAGCTAACATGGCTCATTAGTGATTGTATGCTGAATGGCCATATAATGTATAAACAGTGGGACTGTGCTGTCCTGAACTCATGAGATCACCGCTTTGTGGTCCCATGATTGTTCACCAAACATTACCCCTATTTCAACCTGTTTGAGACCTGACAATTAACTAAAGGCCTCCTGCTGCTCTGAATGTAGAGTGTACAGAATGCCTTGGGGTCACTGGAAGACAACAAACAACAGTACATGTGCTTTTTTACATCGGATTGTTTGCCTGATTCTCTGTGATCTGACTTATGTGTTATCAATAAGTAAGAGATTACAAAAAAAAATTAAAATTTTGCTCACCTTCCGAATTTTCTTGAGTTTTTTCAGTAATTAAGATCAAGTAGTTTAAAAACAAACACTTTTATTATAG